TCCATGGATCCATGGTTACATGAAGTGTTCTGAAAGTAGGAAATTATGTAAACGCATTATCTGTACCTCCTCCCACTTCTAGAACTGTGACATTTTCTCTGGGCCCTGTCCATTATTTTTTTTGCTCTAATTACTACGGTTCTGGGAAGCTGTTGGAACAGGGCAGTAGGGTTGGCCACAGTGGAAGATCTTAGTCAAAGGGTTGAAGCCATGTGTTAAAAATACTGTCCTTGACGAAGTTGCAGACCTGCACTCTGATCGCATGCCATGTCTAGGACTGCTCCACCAAGCCTGGGAGCCAGGAGCTCAGGGTTCTAGCTACAGCTTTGCCACTAACCAGTGTGTCACTGTGAAAAAGCCCTTTGACATCCCTGAGCCTCAGGTTTTCTTAACTCAAAAAAAAAAAAAAAAAAAGATTTGGAAAATACAGTCTCTAAGTTCCCCTTCCATCTCGCACAATCTTTGACTTTAAAACTTTCAAAAACTTCCGTTGTATTTTGATGATTAACGTAGCTTTCCAAAAGAGTTCTTTAGTATCCAGAACAGAAAGCCTTACCTGTTTTCTAAAATAAAGTTTATCTGTCACTGTCAGTCTCTTTTTCCATTTTTTCCTCATCCTCCTTCTAAAACAGAGACTTTTTCTGTTCCTGAGAGCAACGGAACCTGAACTCTTGTGTTGATTCTAAAGTAGAACTAGAAGTTTCTCTGGAAACCACTTCTCCCCACCAGGTCTGAGTGCCTAGGACAGCCAGTCTCCATGTCAGCATCGGTTCTAATGGTCCCCAACCACTGCTCATAGAGCATCCTTCCTTCCTCAATAGGTAAGTTTCCCTTCTGTGCTTTTTCCCCTGAAACACTAGGCAGGGACTTAACTCTCTCTGTGTTGTTGCAGTGAACAAACTGAGTAAAGTATTCTGTTCTCCTACTCAAACAGAGTTCACGGAGTAAATATTTCTCATGGATTTTCCTTCCTAATCGCCCAACGTTTTAAAACACTTGGCATTCTGCTCCATTCAAGTGGTCGGGGCCACATTCAGGGAGAGTCTGAGCTTCAGGTGTCAGAGTAAACAGGAGTTCTGAGTGAATGAGGGGGCCTGGTAGGAGCAGCCGGAGCCCTGTGGGCCCAAGAATACTAACAAGGCTGAAGGGAAAGGCTCAGAGGCAGTCCTGCTCTTGGCAAGCCCAGGCAGGGTTCCCTTTGATGTGAAGTCTTGCTTGATATTGCTTTGTGTGTCTGCATTTGTCCTTGGCAGGCAGAAGGCAGTTCCTTTCCAACAATGAGGTGCCCTTGTGTATTGCTGCCTTCCACTGAAACAGTGATGCATGCAAGCAGCTCCCAGGGTGACAGGCAAGTGCAGGGGGGAGGCTGGGGCTGGTGGGAGGGGTGGGGAGGACGCTCAAGGAGAGCCCAAGTGCCAAGGATATTAACAAGGAAGCTGAGACAGCCTGGGAGTTTGTACTAGAGCTCTCAAAACATTTTACCTTGAAGTAGGAACAATTTGAGAGAGATACAGAGTAACTAGCAGCAAAACGTTGAAAGTGATTTCCTTTGACTGGAACACAAAGAAGTTTAGAAATATGAATTGCAATCAAATAGTGGCTTGTGAATATTAATAGTCACAATTGACTAGACTTCTCTTAGGTTTTGTGGATAATATTCGTACTGTTTTCTAAATATTTCCAGTTCTCCACCCTTTCAAGCAAAGTGGGTTGCACTTCCTGGTCTCCTTGTGGTTGGGTAGGGCCATGTGACTAGTTCTAGCCAGTGAGTAGAAGTGACATGGGTCTCTTCCTGCCTGGAGTATTGAATTACTGATGTAAGGCTCTCTGGAATGTGGACCACCAGTATTTGAGATGGTGGTTTCTCCATCAGCCTGAGCCTTTGAATAACTATAATATCAGAGTCCCCCTGCCAACCTACAAGGGACAAGTAGCATGAGCAAGAAATCAACGCTTTTGGTTTAAAGCCACTCATAATATTTGAAAGCTGTTGGCTACTGCAACATAACCTGGACTATTGCAATTGCTAAAGGCACAGAAGATGCTCCTTTCCTTGTCCTGTTACATGGAGATTAGATATTGAATTGTATCAAACTGATCTTGGACTTCCATGAGAAATCATCCTCACTTTATTTAGGCAATAGGAGCTTTCACAGCCACGGTATTTGTCTAGGGAGTGGCATTGCAAGTCAGTTGTCTGTGGATGCATCTCTAAGCCTTAAGCTTGGGAAGCCCAAGGTGTTGTAGATAAGAGCCATGATAGGTCCCAGAAGATGCAGAAAGATGTTCATTGGGGTCTCACTTAGCTCAAACAGAGCCAGGAGAGAAACTTTATCAATGGAACGCATGAATTAAGTGTCTCTTTTCATATCTTTCTATGGTCAGAGGGCTTCAATCCCTGAGCCACTTTGAATGTAAGAGTAGAAAAAGTGGAAAAGGAAAAAATATGGCTGAAGAAAACTCACAGATTAAAAAGAACTCTGAAAGAATGTTGGCAAAACTGGAAGAGATGTAATTTACATTACAGAAAATAGTTTACAGTACTGGTAAGGCACAGAAGAAGGGAGATTTGTTGGGGCTTCATGTGAGGTGTACAGAGGGCTGCAGTTAGTCCAAAAAAGCTTCAAGGAAGTTGTTTTCAAGAACTACTGGACTTTGGGAAGGAAAAATAGAATGGAGGGTCAGGAGAAGGGCAATACAACCTGAAGCCCTTCTAGAAGCCAGGTCAAGGTGACTCTACAAGAAGGCATTATAGAAATTTGGCCTGAGGGGTCTGGTGGGGTGTTCCATTTTTTGGTAGACATAGAAGAGGGAAAATTCAGGTGGTCAGAGGTAGGCTGATAGAGAAAGAATTTTAAAATAATTAATGCTAGGAGAAGTACTCCAAGCAAAATGTTCCAGGTAGGGGAGAGAGGGTAAAGTGACAAAAAATGACAAAAGCAGCAGCATTAAGATTACAACCTGGGATGGGGATGGTGTTGGGGCCTGAGGGAGCAAGAAACGGGAAGCTGCCAGCCTCCATAGGAGGGAAGACTGAATGGTTACAGTGATGTGACTGGGAGCGCTAACTGTCTTCCATATCCTTCCTTGCCCCCTTCCTTAATGGTACTCCCTATTTTAGCTGAGTATACAACCGTGCAGAATAAAGATTACCTTGCTTGCCTCCCTCTTCAAATAGACGTGACCATTTGAAACAAAGGACATTGGTGCCCTTAGTAGTGCCGAAGGACTTCCAACTTCAATTTCTTTTCTTCCATCTCACAATGACTTATCCTTGAATGACTATTTCCCTCTGCTATGCAAGTTTCTTCATCTCTTGCTCCTGTCAGCGTTCAGTGCAGGAAACAGAAACCATTTTAGGTACCTCAAGTAGAAAGGAATTTAATACAGGGAATTGAGTGCTGCAAAATTACCGGAAGAGCTAAATGTAAGTGAGGAAGACCTCTCAGATGGAAAGCTCGTGCCTCTGCTAGGTTTTGAGGTTATAACCCTGTAGCTCTGAACCGGAGGTCAGGAAATCACTGTCAACACCCAGGGGTCGAGGAACTGCTGCCAGTTTTACAGTTGCCCCATATCCGTGAGGCTGGTCAGAAGAAAGTGGGATGTGAAGTCTGTCCACAGCAAAAACTCAGTTCTGCCAGAACTTGTCACTGCTGCAGAAATAAAATTGGCCTTCACCTGCATTTCACCTTCCAAATCTCATGGGAGGCATCTGAAACACTGGCAGCAAGGGAGCCTGAGAAATGTAGCTGTTAACCTTCCAGCCCCTGTGATACAGGGGCCATGCAGAAGGGGATGGGTGTGAATAGTGAGTGCCGACACGGCATACCTGATCCATCCCTGGAGATGTCAGACATTCTCAGTAATATTCTTAGATGGCTTCCCTGCTCATGTACTTCTCTAATAGCCAATTTAAAAATATTGTCATCTATTTATTACATGCTAAGACTATGTTGGGCACTTCAAAGTGAACAGAGTGATAGCTTGGTTCCTATCATCTGAAGCGTCTTCCACTTGAAAAACATGTGTTCGATTTCTGTCCGGTACTCAAGAAGCATCGATAGTTTCTCATTATCTACCAAATAAAGTCCAAGTGCCTTCACTTAAATCTAACAGACTCTCTAGACTCTAACCTCAACGCTTGTTTTCATTTTTATCTCTCATTTTTCCACTTAATGAACTCTTATGGGCCTATAAACTGGATTGTTTTCTATTCTCTATACATATGCCTCTCTTTTCTGCCACCAACACTTTAGCCACACTGTTTCTCCTCCTTAGAATGTCCTTCTTCCCGATGTCTCTCTAGGTCAAAGCACCACTGCTCCCTTAGTATCCAGCTCAGATGTCACCTCTCTGAGGAAGCCTTTCTCAACGCCGTACAGCTGGGATACTCCTTCACATAGCAGAGTCCATGGAACTTGATCTATATTCCTGCCATGGAATTTAAAACAGTCCACCTTGTATTACAGCTTTTTGTATAAACATAATTTCTTCTCTAGTAGACCATGGACCATAGAGGAGCAAGGATTATATTTCTTATTTATTTTTGATCCCCCACAGAGCCATAGAGTTTATTGAGTGAATAAATGTAAACCTGGAAGACAGTCATTATTCTCAAAGATTTTATAATCCAACAGTCAGATATTTTTTAAAGTACCTTCACTCTCTTTTTCTTAGCATGTGAAATCTGAAATTCTTTGCTCAGAATTTCATGCTCTCCAGCTAAATGACACCCCTGACATCCTATCTCGTAATTCTTTAACTTTCAGTGACAATAAATAAGCTTTTTTGTTCTCCTCACATGTCTTGTTCATCTTTCATTTCCTGTTATTCCTGCAACTTAGTGTGTAATTTATATGATGTCATTTTCCATTTCCTCCTAAACCCCAAATAAGATGGGAATGCCTCCTTAATGTCTATAGCAATAAAAAAAACAATTAGCAGATTGTGTTTCTAATCTATACCAACAATTAATGCAAAAGATGTAGCTTGATTATACATGATGAAGAATATATTTCACCAGTATATTTTAAAATTCCACGTCAGGTAACTCTATTCACCAACTCTTTTTATTTATGAAACACCTCTAATTATAAAACAAGTCATAGGCCTTAATCATTTTTATCAAACAAAAGACCTTAGACATGGAATTAGACACAAAAGCATTATAATTTAATTGTACCTTTTTTCTGCCCTACGTCGAATTTACCCTTTATTAAAACAACAGCGTTTGTAAATGTTTTGGTTTCCTTTCTCAGATACAATATGCCCATCCCCACAACTAGTTCACAGGTTCTTCAAGGGAAAATACATCTTCCTTCCCTTGAACTTTTATCCTCTAGTGTCTAACCCACTGCATCTAGTATTCCAGTCTTTAAGCAATAAGAATTCAAATAATGCTTATTTCAAGCCATCACTACTAAAAAGAGCATGAAGGAAGTTGTCATTGATTTCTTTGTGCAAAGTTGTCTCTCCAGATATTATCTAAGCAACCTCTACCCGCTGTTCAATAAAAGAATACTTTTTCTAGATATTTCTGAGAACATACCTGTCTATTATATGAAAAATAGCATGGTCTTGGGCTACAAAATGAGTAGGTTTATAACCAGTATTAGAGCTACATAAATCTGGACTACACATGCTATCATGGAGATGGAGATGCGCGCTAAGGGAATAGAGTGGAAAGAATGATTACCTCTTCTTCTTGGGACTCATCTTCACCAGTCAGAGAACATTTATCCACCAGGCATACGTGTTGGTTATGCTTCTGAATTTGTAGAAGGAGCACTTAATCCTCTCCTCTCACTAGCAGGTTGTTAAAGCATCTATGTCTGCTCTTATCAGCGATGTAGGCTTTTATGTTCCAGGTAGGTTTGTGCTGGAGATTACAACCTTTAACTCCCTGTGGTCTCATTCTAATTCAAAGTCCAGTTGTGAGAAATAATATTTACAAAGGAGTGGTACAAGGCCATTGCTGCCCATACATTACACTAGCTAGGCTAAATGTTGCCCTTGAGATCATAACAGGGCTGTGAACTTGAGTTTTGACTCCTTGTAGACCTCCCTTTTCTAAATTTGTGCCTTAGCCCAAGCCATCAGCCTATAGAGAGAAACATGAAGTCTCATGGAACATGATAGTACTTGCTGCTGCATTTTCTGCATGGATTGATGTTTAGGGCATAATCTGAGGAATCACACAGTATCCTCCTTTTGAGGACAGCCAGAAGTGAGGCTGCTCTACATCAGGAAAATCTGTTCATATTGTCTGTAGAAGACACTAACCCAAAGCCATTCCCAAGGCCCTTGCTTGCCCTCCTTTCTCTGTAAAGGCCAAAAAGTCAGATGCTCACTTTTCCAGTCTTTCTTGTAGTGGGGGGAATTCATATGATCCAGTTGTGGCCATGAAACATAGAAGGAAGTCTGCAAGGAAGCAATGGCAATTGGCAAAAGGAAGGGGTGGCAATTACTTTCCTGATGAAAAATACATGTGGGAGGAGAGATCTCTAGCCTGTCCTTACCTCTTCTCTCTACCTTGGTCATGGATGTGATGTCTGGAGTTGTAGCAGCCCACTTGAGGCAGTGAGGCTACAGAGTGATAAAAATCAACACCCTAAGGACAGTAGGGAAGACAGATAGAAAAAGCCCGGGTCTCTGATAACATGACTGAACAAGTGTCCACCTCTGGACTTCCTGTTAGTGAGAAAAATAGCCCCTGATTCATGTAAAGCATTATTAGCTGTGTTTTCTGTTATTTGCAGCCTAATAGATAATTAGTTTTTGTTTTATCAAATGTTATAAGTCTTGTAATTAAGCCTGTTTTTGTCTTAGCTTTGGCTACCAGAAAGTTACAAAATTGTAACTAACATCTACCATGACATATACTCTGCTAATTTTTGTCTCTGAATTTTGTGGGCTTTTTACTCATGTTTTTATTTCACCCGATTCCTCCAAGTACTTATTTTTTTATTTTGTATTATATGCATTTCACAAGTCAAAATTTTTTTCTAGAACACAGCAACGTATAAATAATACATAAACAAAAAATCCAGCCCTGCTGGAAAATTGAAGAAATCATGTTTGAATAAAGATTTCCCAGAGGGACAACATCTGTGCCTCACTCTTTAGTTAAATTCAGTAATTACAGTAATTCCTAAGGTTGTAACTGAAGTGAATCAGTAGGTAGTTTAAATAGTGGCCTATTAAACGTTGTTCTCTATTAAAATTTCAGAACTCTAAGATCTTAAAGTAGGGGGAGCACAGACTTCAGGAGATCTATAAACCTTTTGACATAAACACAATTTTGTTTGTACACACAAATGTGTGTTTTCTGGGGTAAAAGCCTGAGACTTTCATCAAATATGCAAAGTCTGTTATTCAGAACAAGATTAAGAACTTCTGGGTCAAGTTACATTTACCCTTTTTGAGTCTTCCTCCCCCTGGATCACTGTGTTTCATTTGGGGTTTTGCATTTCTGTCAAGACCCCGGACTTCTGTCACGGTGCAGATGCCTGCTTCATCCTGAGAGTACACACCCCATCCACGTTAGTGGACTTGCATTGATATGTAATTATTTACACTGCATTTGGTGTCTGGAATGGCAGTCTCCTGTTGATCATTCTGGAGGCTCTGAATCCATCGGCTGCCTCCCAGTGGGCTCGGTGTGTTGTAGACACACAAATCAAAGTAGTGTGAGGGAGGAGAAAAATCATTCCCTTCCAGGATAATGCATTTTTCATGAGAAACAGGTCATTAAGAACCATTGCCTGATGGTTGCTCTCATTCTATCTTTTCATCCTTCCTCTCTTGTCAAATTATTTGGCCTCCTTCTTCTTCTCTCTGTGTTTCCCCTCAGCTTCATTCCTCTGCATTTGATTAGTTTACCATCTCCTTCTTTCTAATATATTTAAATGATTTCTACCTGATATGCATCTTTGAACTATTTTCTTGCCTGACTTTCGTTCCTTTTCCATCACGTGGCATCTGTCTCTTCATTTGCTGTTGTGCATTATACCCACATTCTAGCTGATACATTGCACAGGTTTTCCCAAACTTATCATTTCAGTTCCCAGTACATAAACAGACAATGCTCTTACCTGTTTTTCCATGATACTTTGATTCTCCCTGAAGTTTTAATTTTACTGCCCATTGTCATATATTTCTATTCCCTTTTACGCCTGTGAATACAGACTCAATAATTTACTTGTGCCAATTTTCTATGCTGTCATACAAATTCTGTGGCAGTTTCCTCCCAAATGATGGACTTGAAGTGATCAATCCGTCACATGTCTTAGAGCAACTTTCTCTTCTCCGGTTAAAATCAGGAGTGGGTTTAAGTGAGCCAGAGATTTTTGAGGAAGGAGATTTCTGTCATGAGAGGAGTGACTACCGTGAAGGGAAAAATATCTCAGTGAAAACTTCTTTCATGTTTCTGTTGACAGTTCTTTTTTTAAAGCAACTGAGCCAGTTATAATTTTTAGCAAAATTTAATTACATGCAGAGAGTAAACATCTGGAAATCATCTTGGGTAATCAGTGTGAACTTATATGGTAAATCAGAGACTTACATGCCAGCGTTTAGAGATTACAATCTTAATGATCATTATTCATAAAAACCTTTGTTTTCAATCTGTCTTTAAGAAATAATTAGAATTCAAGGCATTCATGAAACAGGAAACTTGCCACTTTATTTCTTACTTTATGTATATCTCCCTCAGGACAGTGGGGTTTTGGAAGAAGGAGTTAAGTACTGGTTTGTTTTTAGTGTGTAAGCTTTTTTCTTTAAGGCATTTATTTGTGAAATTTAAGAAGCAGTAGGAATTCTAAGTCAGGCAAGTAAGCTGGAAAACAATAAAACTTGAAAATTACCCAGGCGTGAAATCCCCTTGATCTAAGGAATGCTTCCAACATTAAGTTCTCCATAAGCGTGAACTATAAATGATAACATTCCAAAATTAGTTTTTGAAGGAAGGCTCATAACAGGAAACTTGATCATCTGAAATTAACCCAACCTACCTTCTCACCAACCTAAAATAATAGCCTCCGCCCCTACCCAATATGACCTAAAAATAATAGATTGCATCTCACCTCAATGTAACTTGGCTTGAGCCCAAGGATTAATACATACATACATGACACTCAGAATTGCACCCAAAAGAAGCAGCAGCATTCTCTTTCTCGTGAGCTGTCACAGCGTGGTAAGCCTCCCTGGCCCTGTAATCCTAATTAACGTTAGTCGTCTACACTGTGTTCCAGTGTGAAACGCAGAGCAGCAACACTCTTTGCTGGGAATCAGTCTCTCAAGAGGCTGCAGTTTCAGAAGGTGTGTCTCAAACTCTCTATTCTGAGTCTTCCATTCTCAAAGGGATTATGTGTCTTCACTCTGAAAGCTGATAACCCGAGGAATTAAAAGGCTGAGACAGGAAAGAAACACAAGGAAAATGCTTGTTTTTATTTTTTCATTTTACACGAGATGGTCATACGGATATAGACCAGAAAATGCTAGAGGTAGGAGAATAATCGGTTTAAAATAGTAAAGAGTGGGGAGAGGCAAGGAAGAGATGAAGGTGTAGAAAATAATGGAAAACAGAAAAAGTGACCAAAGGGGAGAAGCAGATAGCAGGGCTGCATTCTGACTTTTGTGGGCCTTGGGGACTTTTGCCTTATGGGTTTCATTCTCCATAAGAAAATATTAAAAATTAGATTTTACTACGGCGTTGGAATAAAGGTGAATATACTGATCTTTGTATTAAATTGTTTTAACCTGAAAGGTCATTTTTTTCTTCTGATTTTAAAAGAAATAAAAATATTTTTGTGTGCTTCTAAATTATTAGGGGCCCAAGGCACCCTTCCCCTCTGCCTAGTGGAGAAGTGGGCCTTATAGGTGGAGTGAGGGAGAGGGAGTTAGCAAGAACTCTGCTCAGAAGTGAGTTTAAACTAGCAATGGAAACATTAAATAAATACAGATATCGGTGCCTCACCATAGTCTAGATCGAAATTATGTGTCATCCCTAATCACTCCAGCTAACCGTTATTGACCAATTACCATGCGTTAAACGCGCCACCTGCTTTATCTCACTCATTCCACACAACAACCTGAAAGTTAAGCAGACAAAGATGTGCCTTGAAACCTTAGGGCCCCTCACTTGCTCTGCTTCCTTCCAAGTCTCTGTACCCAGTTTTTAAGAGGGTCTCTCAAGATGGTCTATGCATCAAGCCCTACAAAACCTGAACCTGTTCGTATAGGTGTATATGTATATTCGGTGTATGGACAGATAATGTCCTCCCAATTCACTGTTCAGCTCACTGAAACACACAAAGGCTAAATGATTTGTAGGTTGTTCAGAGTCACAGGGCCACTTGTTAAAGGATAGACTTACGGAGATTGAGTTTGGCTAAAAAATAATCTTGATTCATAGGTTAGAATCAGATGGGATGCAAAAATAAGTGTAAGGTGCCCAGAACTCCATTCTCAGCCTACGCTTGCCAGGTAATCTCTTTAACATCTCCAGCTTTAGCTGTCACCCCATGGCTGGTGACTACCAGATGCATAGCTTCAGCCGTTTCAGTTAGGATGCTTTCAACTGCCACTAATAAGATCCTCACCCAATGATCATAAAAGTTATGAGAACGCTCACGTGAGAGGCCATCCAGCGGTAGAGTAAGCTTCCAAGATGGCGGATGCACAGATTCAACAACATCGTCAAGGAAACGAGTTTTCCCTCTCCACTCTGCAGTCTTCAGTGTTGGCCTCATCCTGTGGCTTAGTACCTTTGTGTCTGTAGGAAAGTTGTCAGCAGCACCAGAGCTATAGGCTTCCTCATCCAAATCCACTGAGAGAGAAAGCCTGGCTTCCCGTGCCTTTCCAGAAGCCTCCTTGCCTCTCATTGATGGGAATTAGATCACATGCCTATTCCTGAACTAATTTCTGGCAAGTAGGATGATTTGGGGATCAATACTTTTAGATCAATTAGGCCTACCTTTGAGATGAGGTCAATTTCCTAAATCACTGAGAGAGGAGTGGAACGGGTGTTGCAGAGTCAGCAACAATGTCTGCAATTTCAGCTCCAGACCTGGTCTGATAAGTGCCCAGCAAGCATCTCCCAATCTTACCATCCACAGTCATATTTGGTGCAACATGTCCAAAGCGGAACTCATGGTCTGCTTCTAGAAACTGCTCTTCCTCCCATGTGCCTTATTTGGAAAAATACAAAACCAGAACTCAGAAAATAACCTCTTCTTCACCCTCCCCATTACCCAGTCAATCATCAAGGCTACCGCCTGCCAGTATCCTCGGCATCACCCTATTTCATCCCCTCATTACTCCTTACTTGAATTATTGTAATATCCCCCTACGTGGCCTCCTTTGACCCATATCCTTATTGCTACCAAAAGTATGTTTCCAGATGGAGTAATAAGGTAAAGAAAGCTCATGTCATTACTTTAAATAACTTCCATGAGTAGCTCCCCATTAGCTTCTGGATATGACTCATTTATTCATTTATTCAATATATACTTACTTGGGGTCTCCATAAGGCAGAATCTGGGCTCAGTGAGATGGATAAAAGGATGAATAAAATCAGTGGGGTCCCTACCTTCACTGGGGTTTACAGTGCAAGGGACTTTGGAGGGCATGGAGAGGAGGCGCCTGGAGGGAAGTCCTGATCCAGTTTTTATCGGAAATCAGCACTTTGAGCTTGCACGTGGGAGGGAGCTGGGGAAAGAGCAAATAGCAAGCAGTGTCCCCAGCTCCCAGTGTCCCCAGAATTTCCTGAACCTTAATAAATTACTCATTGTATTGTCCTCATAAGTGTTTGATTATGTCCCCATCTCTCCCTTTCGACTATTGTCTTGTTCAACTTTACATCCCCAAAGACTAAAATTTCTGTGCAGCTTACTTTTTCATTTCATCAATCTGTTCATTTATACCCTGCCTTGGTTCCCCCCGCCAAAAAAATATTTGGGGCTGCCTGATCCACAGTAGAAATGCAACAAATATGGAACACTTTTACAAGTAAAAAGACCCCGAGACCCAGAAAGCTTAAACCTGTTGACCAAAGTCAACCAGGTAAAATTCTTCTGAAAACTTTTCCTGTGAAAGTTGGAAAAGTTATCACGAAAAGTGAGCTCTCAATCGTAGGAAGTATCTGAAGACAGGCTGGGTGTTGTGGGTCATTGGTTATTCTTAGGTTCTTGTGGTCTTGTCCAAGCTGTGATTCTACAAAGCACAGTACAGGTAAGTGATTTACAATCCCTTAGAGAAGTTCTTAACTTTAAATACATTTTACAGTGATTTTATCTCTCAAGTTCAAGATTTTAGGGAATTTTTGGTTAATACCTATAAATAATATTTATATAAAGAAGTTTAATAGTCTCCAGGCCAATACATACTCTAATGAGAATCCAAAAGTATGTTTACCTATATAAATTTACCTTTTAGAATATGAATATGTATAATAAAGACAGCACATTTTGAATTTTGTCCACAAAAGCAGTTTCAAGTGAGTGAGTTGTGCTGAATGGCTTTAAAGAATAATGCAACTTCTGGAAATCCCATGGAGGCAGCCAAAGTTGTCAATGAAACAAGAAGTAACCTTGAGGGATATTTTAATATACGAATGCTCCTAATGAGTATGCTAAAATCATGTGAAATATCTCATGTGATATATCAGTATCAACAATTTGTGAGGCTTATCATGTGGATGGAATACTGAGGATATGAAGGCATTAAATGTCCAAAGGCATGGCCTTAGGATGCCCCTTGGATTCTTAAGTGCAATTTTTACTTAATTGGAGTTCATAACTTTTCACTGGACATTCTACCTCCAAATTATAATTAAAATAATTGTGAAAATTATTGTTCTTATTTTGACTGTGTGACCAAAGTTTCTGCAGTACATTTTGTATGGAGCAGGGTGAAATTATTTTTTTAAAAAAATTTTAAAAAAAATCTTTGAAGACATTTTGATAGAATTTACCTCTCCTAAAAACTTTTGGGTCTAATCCACGATATCTAGCTGAATAGCATTGCCTACATTCTTCTTTATCTGTTAAAGAGTTATTTGTAGACTCTATGATGAGCCTTCTCCTACCTCTCTAGAAATGCCAGAAATGCTACTAAACCCATGAGATATAGATATCTCATGGGTATAGATAGATAGTTTAGTATATATAGATAGATATAAAACCACCTAATCAAATTCCTCCTTTCCAGGCATTTTCTGCTTTGTGGAAATGAGCTGCAAAAGACCTGGCAATTCAACTCTCAATTATAAACAAAGCTTACTTATCTTAAAACTTGGTCAGGGCAGAATTCAGTCCACAAATCTCTCTTCAAATTGTGCCTAGTAATTTGCTTTGTGTTTGTGGAAAGACACAGCTTGTTAATAGTAGGGCTCAACTGCTAAACTTAGAAAGAGAGTCCAAGAGGAAGAACCCAAGGTAAACAGAAACTTCCAAAAGTTGTAAATAACAAAAGACACACAGATGATGTGTGTTTCATTGAGTTGCCACATCATAGGCTCATAGTAAATGAGTACAACATGGCTCAAGATCTATGTGTACAGTTTCTCCTATTACCTAACACAATGTAGACACACTTATCACACTCCAATCCTTGCCTTCAACTAAGAAAAGTAAACAGTGTCATGACATCATTCACAGCCAATCACAGCACAGCCACGAGGACGAAGGAAGTGTTGGGAGAGTCCTTTTGCAACTGAGAGACAAGGTGAGAGACAGTATGTTTGATAAGTTGTCCTAACACATTCCTGGGGGTTCTGAGCTGTATTTATAAAGTAACATTCGTTGGTGGCTCAAAAACTGTCCTAGGAGGCGGGCAATATGTCACGTTCCATAAGAGGAGTGATTGTGGTGACGGACCTAAGGTGACCAGGAGCAACCTTTGTTCACTGTTCCATCACATGGCTCTATAATAAATATTAGTCATCCAGTGTACACATAGGATGTGGTGAGGCTTCCTGTTGAGGGCAAAACCTTCTTCCAGAGATCAGAGTACACTCCCTGTTCTAGGCAGATCCCTAATCAGATTTACTATCTTTACCTTGGAAAAAACCACGGCTTTCCCATTAAGTAGAAGCTGTCACAGAGCAGCATTGGCGCCTGTATATTACAGTTGCTTTCAAGTTCTCCTTTTTCCTTCTGAGTCCCAAAGAGTTCATGGTTTCCTGGTTTTGATTAAACCAGATTGTATTTTAAACTTGTGCTTCTCTCCCTTATCTAGCCTCCCCTAATTTAATGTAAAATGTTCCAAATGATCTCACCTTGTGGTTTCATTGACTAGAGATACTGCAAAATCAGAAGGCACCTCTATTATACTAGGAGGCACACGCGCGTTTTATCAGACTCTATCTCTTCTGTTCTCTACAAGAACACAGCTCTCTCAACACAGGTTTGTAGATCCTTTACTGGACTTCAGCAGACATTAAAAAAAAAAAAAAAGAGACACTATGATATCATCAACAACCTAAAATATTGTATTATTTCTTTGGCTGATTTTTACTTAAAAATATAAATATAATGTGGTTTTGACTTTTTCCCTACAATAGAATAGCCTGTTACCTTAAACATTCTCAATATATAGGACACATCATATGCTATCTCTTCCTATTCAAAAAAGTAACAGTGAGTTAGAACTGACAGAAAGAACTGACACTTGATACCTACTTGGGATTTATGGAGAAAAAAAATAACATGTTACATACACAGAGCAAATCCTCTGAACAGCTTTACTGACCAGCAATACACCCACTTTACTGATACTGCCTCATAGAGGATGAAGCCTGAGCCAAGTTAGATCCTTTCATTGTGACTGTTGCCTTTCTAAGAAGGATTGTAGAGTTTTAAGGAAGGCCAGCCCCTGTTTGGGCAGCCTAGTGACTGTAGCAAGACTTTCTCTTAGACCCCAGCCCATCCTTCACTCTCACCAAGCACTTCACACTTGCTCCAATCCTCCTAGATGGAGAGAAATATTAATAATTAGAACTCATTGGGTAGCTGGAGTCTCTTGGTATATTTTAAATTCCTCCGCCTTCAATAAAAAGCTCTCTCGGTGACACTGGCATTTAATAAGATGTACAGCTGGTTCCGCATATAAGGTGCCTGAAAGTTGCCGCTGTGTCCTAACAACAAGTAAAAAGCCGAACAGACTGAAAAATCAACAATTCTTCTTGGATCCTTAAGAGCAGGGAGGACACAGGGCTAATCACTGCCCCCAAGGTTGAAGAGAGAGACATGCAAACACAGGGAGCTGCTGCTTACCAGAACAGGGACTCAGGAGTACGTCTGGGTAGGAAAATTACCTGATCTGTAACTAATGAATTGCTGGAGGCTGAGTGAGAAAAAATCTGAGAGTTAAAAACTCCAGGGGCACCCAGTCATACGGGGACCCCAACAATATTGTAAGATTTACCTCCAGGAGCTTGACCAGTTTCCCACAGTAAATTTGGGGGGAAATCCTCTTGAGCTCCCTGCAGGAGGAGGGGAAAATAAACCATTTTGAAATATGCCAGAGTATTTTGTTCCTAACAAGGCCTGCTCTCAGGGGGCACTATTTAACCAGACCCTACCTGCTAGGGTATTATCACAACCTAACTGACATGGGGAAGGGAAATACCCAACTCCAGCCCACTCTAGCCATCCTGCTCCACCTAAGAGGGGAGAAAAATACAGAGAAACACTTGTGAAGTCCATAGTCTAGAAGCATAGGTTCACTGAAAGACTGAGAGCTAATCATAGGAGTATAGAACGCTTCCCCTCTCCCCACACCTCACTGTCACATTACTAAAGGTTTATTTACAGCAGTTCCTTTTATCTAGTACATTATGCCTAGCTGTCAACAAAAACATACAAAGCATACTAAAAGACAAAAAATTTGAAGAGATAGAGCAATCATCAGAACCGGAAGTGGCAACAGTATTGGAATTATCAGACCAGGAATTTAAAACAACTATGATTAATATGCTAAGGGTTCTAATAGATAAAGTAGAACAGATGGGCAATGTAAGCAGAAAGATGTGAATCCTAAAAGAAGAACCAAAAATAAATGCTGGAGATCAAAAATATTGCAACAGAGGGCTTCCCTGGTGGCGCAGTGGTTGAGAGTCCGCCTGCCGATGCAGGGGACACGGGTTCGTGCCCTGGTCCGGGAGGATCCCGCGTGCCGCGGAGCGGCTGGGCCCGTGAGCCATGGCCGCTGAGCCTGCGCGTCCGGAGCCTGTGCTCCGCAACGGGAGAGGCTACAGCAGTGAGAGGCCCACGTACCGCAAAAAAAAAAAAAAAAATTGCAACAGAAATGAAGAATGCCTTTGCTGGGCTTATTAGTAGACTGGACACAGCTGAGGAAAGAATCTCTAAACTTGAGGATATCTCAGTAGAAATCTTGAAAACTAAAAAGCAAAGAGAACAAAGACTGAAAAGAAACAGAACAGAATATCCAAGGACTGTAGGATAACCAAAAAGGATATAACACATGCATAATGGGAATATCAGAAGGAAAAGAAAGAGAGATAGGGACAGATAAAATATTTGAAAAAATAATTTCAAATTACTGGAATTCATGAATGGTATTCAAAACTGAGAATTCAAAAACTGAGAATTTCCCCAAATTAATGTCAACACAAACCAGAGATCCAGGAAGCTCAGAGAACACCAAGCAGGATTAAAAACAAACAAACAAACAAACAAAAAACAAAAAAAACCAAAACTATACCTAGGCATATCATTTTTCAAACTACAGAAATCAAAGAAAAAAAGTCTTGAAAGAAGCCAGAGAGAAAAAACCTTGCCCACAGAGGAACAAAGAAAGATAAGAACTACATCCAACCTCTTCAGAAGCCATGCAAGCAAGAAGAGACTAGACACCAACCTAGAATTCTGTACCCTATGAAGTTATCCTTCAAAAATGAAGGAGAAATAAGGACTTTCTCAAACAAAAATTGAGAAAATTTGTTGCTAATAGACCTGCCTTACAAGAAATGTTGAACGAAATTTTTAGAGAGAAGAAAAATAATATAGGTCAGAAACTCAGATCTACATAAAGAAAGGAAGATCATTGAAGAAGGAATAAGTGAAGGTAAAAAAACCCCTTTATTTTACTTATTTTTAATTGATCTAACAAATAACTGTTCAAAATAATAATAGCACCAATGAATTCAATTATGTATGCATGTGTATATTGCTCATGCGTATATATGCTTATGGATGCGTATATATAAATGAAATGAATGACAGAAATGATAAAAGGGATGGGAGGGAGGAATTAGTATTATTTCGTTATTATAAAGTACTCACACTCCCCATGAAGTGGTAGAGTGTTATCTGAAAGTAGACTTGGATTAGTTGTAAATGTATATTGCAACTCTAGGGCAATCATTAAGAAAATGGAAAAGAAAAAGCATAACTGATATGCTAAGAAATAAGAGAAGATGAAATCACATAAAATGCTCAATAAAACCATAAAAGGCAGAAAAAAAGTGGAAGACAAAAATGGGAACAAAGAACAAGGGCAACGAATAAAAAACACAGTAACTAATATAGTAGATATTAATCCAACTATATCAATAATCATTTTGAATGTCAGTAGTCTAAATGCACCAGTTGAAAGACAGAGATTGTCAGAGTGGATACAAAAACAGGACTCAACTATATGTTTCCTACAAAAATTCCACTTTAAATGTAAAGATGCGTATAGATGAAAAGTAAAAGGATAAAGAAAAATATACCATGCTAACATTAACCAATAGAAAGCAGGAGTAGCTGGACTTCCCTGGTGGCACAGTGGTTAAGAATCCACCTGCCAATGCAGGGGACACGGGTTCGAGCCCTGGTCTGGGAAGATCCCACATGCTGTGGAGCAACTAAGTCCATGCGCCACAACTACTGAGCCCTCACTCCACAACTGCTGAAGCCCGCACACCTAGAGCCCGTGCTCCACAACAAGAGAAGCCAACTCAATGAGGAGCCCGCACACCACAACGAAGAGTAGCCCTTGCTCACCGCAGGTAGAGAAAGCTTGCGTACAGCAACAAAGACCCAACATGGCCAAAATTAAATAAATAAATAAATTTATATAAAAAGAAAAGAAAGGAGGAATAGCAATATCAACTTTAGACCAAACAGAGATCAAAGTGAGGAAACTTATTAGGGATAAAGAGGGGCATTCATAATGGTAGGGGCCAAGTTTCTGAAAAGACGTAACAATCAGAGCATCAAACCTCATGAGACAAAAACTGATAGGAGAAATAGACGAAACTACTATCATAGTTGGAGATTCAACACCCCTCTAGAAGAAACGGACATACCTATCAGACAGAAAATTAATAAGGATATAGTTGAACTCAATACTGCTATCAACCAACTGGATATAATTGACTCTTTCATAAAACAACAGCAAAATATATGTTCTTCTCAAGCTCACATGGAACATTCCCCAGGGTAGACCACATTCTGGGCTATAACACACACCTTAGCAAATTTAAAAGAATAGAAATCATACAATATTTGCTCTTGGACCACAATGGAATTAACTAGAAATCAATAACAGAAAGATAACTGGAAAATCCCAAAATACATGGAAATTAAACAACACACTTCTAAATAACACATGGGTCAAAGGAGAAATCTCAAGAGAAATTAAAAACGAGATTTACATCTACCACACACCTAAAATCCAGGATTGTTCTTGGCCAGAAGTCACTCACAAGCCTGAGCAGTTCAAAGATCACCGACATCCATCTATGGACAATTCCATCTTCCCTGTACCTTAGTCCTCAAGCTAACCATCGCTGTTCCCTTTACCTTGGCTTGCCTACTTCCCTCTAATCTCTGGGAAACTCTTCCTACTTTACTGATCTCCCTCTGTTCTCTATAAGGCAAATGTTATGTCTCAGACCTCCAACCACATATGCTATCACAGTCAGGACCAACACCAGGATGCTAGGACGCCCAGGCCTAACTATCAACCCTCATCTCCTCCAGCTTTATAAGCGCTGCTCTGAGGCCATTATAGATTTGCCCATTTTACTTTATTCTGATCTTGTGTCCAGAGTTTAATGGGGGGGAAGGTGAAGGTACCTTCTGTCAACCTCAAAACCTATGGTCCTCAGTCAAAAGGATTTCAGGGACAACTGATCCCAGAGAGCATCCACTCTTTTCCATCCTTACCCCCAATCCAAGGTTTTATCTGAGCATCATAAAATAATATCAACAGCCCTTTTCTGTTTCAGTCAGTTCAAGTCAGTGAGTTAGTGATTTTGCACTTCCTGATACTTTAAAGGACTTTTGAAAGAGAGTCCTAAAATTTCTTTTGACCTTGTTAAAAGAGTTGTTTTGGAACAACTTTAGAAAAGATTCCAAGATGGGAGTGGGAGAAAAGCTATAGGCATAATATGTTTTATATTCAGAGTTTCTTCATATCGGATAAGATTATTTTATAGAGAATTTCTTTTTCATATGCTTATTTTTTAAACCACATTTTTTTTGCTGAGATGTGTCCAATGGAATGATTGAGCCCTAGACTTCTTTCCTACAAGGGGCAGAAAGTGCACTTCCTAGAGAGAGATGACATCTCTGAAATGGAGCTATTTGTGGAAATTCCTAAGTCTCTCAGGGGGAATTTTTCTTTCACTCAGAAGGATCGACCACAACACAGGTGGTCCATGCTCTGGTGAGTTCCAGGGCTAGCCTTGGACAAAACTGAGTAACTGGCAAAGTTAGACTTTGCCAAATCCTCCTACACATCCACACCCACGGCCCAGACATACACCAAACACCACAAACCCTAGTCTGGCCAATGTCCAGAAACCTCCCACCTTCCTTCTCCCCCTTCTATGACAATATCCCCTCAGGAGGCTTACCTACTGTAAACAGAGAAAATAAGATCGCATTACAGAATATTGAAAGTCATTGGAGGTTTTACAGTTTTAAAAACACTAAAAGTCATCTAGTAGAATTATTTTCAGAGTTGTTCATTTGTAATATTTTAGCTGCAAAACTCTTTCTTGAAAAGAAAACTTGAAAGGAAGAAGCAAATAATACAGATTATGAATATATATCAAAGAAAAGCAATATATACACAAAAAAAATCAATATATAAATAAGATAATCAAGAGCTGCTAGAGCCCTCTCCTTTCCTAGAGGGGAACCTGAACATCCCCAGATTTAGAAAACTACCAACCTAATCCAGTCTCTTCAATTCACAGATGACGATCTTGAGCCCCAAACTGAACCAACTTGTCCAACATTGCCCAATGAAATGATGACAGGGGTCAAATGCTCTTCAGGGACATGTCCTTACTATCACCGAGCCTGACACAGGCCCTCAGAGATCCTGCAATAAATGTTAATTATCTGAATTCAACAATTTATGCTATGGTGTTAATGGCTGGCACCATCTTTATACATTACCCCTCTTAGCGGTGTTTGCTTTCATTTGAACAGGATTCCGTTCCTTAGATCAAAGAAAGGAATA